TGGCAGAATGCGCCAAGAGGGAGATACTTCAAAAGAAACCCCTCAAGGTCACGTTCAGACCATGATGACTGGAACGCGCAGAAGGCCAAGAATCAAACCCACAAGGCCAAGAATCTGAATCCCAATGGCAAGAAGGGAATGTCGGCCAAGAAGCCCAATCCAAGAGATGCTCCAGTGAAACAAATACCGGTTAGGTCAAAGTCATCTCAACGGCCGACATCAAGATCAAAATCAAGTACTGAGCCACCCATCAGATCGAAAAAGAAATGGGTTAAACCCAACTACAAATGGGTTCCAAAGGCTCACTCTCCCAAATCTTCTAACGATTCTAATATTTCTACATCTTCTGTTTGTGATAAGCAGGACATGTCATGGGAGAGAGTACCGTGCAAGGGTGAAAAAGGTCAACCCAGTTTCAAAATGGACTGGGTTCCAAAGACCAACTAATACCGCTCTGTGTCGGAGCAGCTATGGAGGCATATCATCAGACTTCGGTTTGTTTGTAGTGGCTGTTCCAGGCACATGATAGGGGACATCTCTCAACTGTACAACATTCATAACTTTGTTTGGGAGTATGTGTCCTTTACGGGAAAGGGAAGAAAAGAAGGGATCACACATGGGGTTTGTGCTTAATGACATGAAGAATTTTCGGATCTGTTCTGAGATTACGCGTGCTGTTCTCAGACCTTATGGATGCAAATTCAATCGGTGACTTACGGTTTGAGTTTTCTTCTCTATACTCCTGAGTTTTTCTTAAGTTGATTCGCTTTAAAGACTAATTTTTGTTTTAGGATAGTTTAAATTTGCGCATTTACTTTCGTTTCTCTCCTATGCACAAATTTAGGGGGGAGAAATAAAAACAATACAAAAATTAGAAAATTTTAAGAAAATCCAAAAACATTAGAAAATCAGAAAATCAAAAATATGTTGGTTATGAAATGTGCTTGAGGGAGATGTTTTGGGAAGTGATATTATTAAGTGATAACAGGCAATCTGAGTCTGCGTAACGTACCCAAAGTTGAAGGGTCTATGCTCTGGGTTTGATGCGCTGGTAGGCATGAAAGATTCTAAATGGACTTGACTAGGCAGAGTTGAACTTAAGAAATTCTTAGACTTGACAAATCTTGACCTAGTTAGATCCGTTTAGCCTGACAATACGACGCTCGGATAGATTGAGCAGGGAGATAAATACGGGAATCTACTAGTTACACTAAAGAACCTGTATTTGGAACCGTGGATTAACTTTTCCTCGATGTGCGGATTCTGTCCTTAATTCTGGTATTGATGGGGTGACTGGTGAATTCCGATGAATTAGGTGTGTAGAAAATTGTTTTCTTTCTCTATCTGTCTGTTAGTCATATGTTACCTCCTCTGTGTGACTCAAAATCCGACCTGGACTGTAACATATGTAATTCTATTTCTCTGCATCCTCCATCTATGCAATTCTTTCTGTCTGTTAGCCATATACTGTCTCCTTTGCGTGACTCACAATCCGACCTGGTACACAGTATATGCATCATTCTTTTTCTCAATCCCTCTAAAACTTCATTTAGTCATATGTTTCACCCTCTGCGAGATTGGAAGAGATCCGACCTGGGTGTATAGCATATGCATTCTAAATCCATCTTCTATCTTGATAATTGTCTGCTCACCCGATGTAAGGAGTATTCTGGAAGTCCTTGATTACTGGAGCATATCAGGAAGCGGGAACCATGTTCTATTACAATTAACAATTGAACACTTACAGATTGTCTATAGATCTCGCTGCTCGATTTAGGTGGACAACAATATCCCTGGTCGTCGTCAGCTGAATGGTCCTTACGAAATATTATCTAGGAACTTAGGATCACTTTGTCTTACAATTAATAGTAATTTTGTCACAATTTTTTGTGTTTAAGTGGACCACAATACCGACAATCGACCAGACAAAGACATGAAGATGAAAGGTACCGACAAGTGGATTAGGGCTGTCTAACAACTTTGATCCCAAATCACTCTTAAAGTTAGATATCATTTTATTTTTGTTAAATTTGTTCATAGTTTCTTCTAATTTAAATATTAGGGGAGAATTTAAAAAAAAAAGTTAATCCACGGTTCTAGATACAGGTTCTTTAGTGTAACCAGTAGATTCTCATATTTATCTCCCTGCTCAATCTATCCGAGCGTCGTATTGTCAGGCTAAACGGGCTAACTAGGTCAAGATTTGTCAAGTCTCTAGATTCCTTAAGTTCATTAATGCCTAGTCAAGTCCATTTTAATCTTTCGTGCCTACCAGCGCATCGAACACAGAGCCTAGACAATTCAGATTCAGTCCCTTACACAGATTCAGATTGTCTGTTATCACATGATTATATCACTTCCCAAGATATCTCCCTCAAGCACATTTAATAACCAACATTTTTTGATTTTCTGATGTTTTTGGATTTTTGAATATTTTCTGAAAAAAAATAAAACAGAAAGAAAATGTTTTTGGATTTTTTTTTAATTTTTCAATTTTTGTTTGGTTTTTTATTATTTTTAAATATTAGGGGAGAATTTAAAAATAAAATTAAAAAAAAACCAAACAAAAATCAGAAAATAAAAAAAATCCTAAAATAATGTTATTTCTGTTTTATTTCTTTTTCAGAAAATATGAAAAATCCAAAAATATTGTGTGCTAAAATTTTCTTTTAGTTTTGTTTTGTCTTGAAAAGTAAATTCAGGTGAAGATGAAACTCATGGAGTTTGTGTTGAAGATTTCTGAGCCAAAGTTTCATCCGTGAGCATCGAAGAATTCGCATTCGAAGGAGCAAGAAATGAAGATTATTCTTTCAACATTCAATCTTTCAACTCCAGAAGCAAGGTGAAGCTGCACTTAAAGATTATGTGTCGGATTGCATTGAAGCCTCCTCAATCAGTCTGCTGCTATCTATGAACCTGCTGAAGTGATCCAGAAGATTTGTTCTCTTTGATGTTCTCTCTAAAGATTCTTAAGCTGAAAGCGCTATCTTTCAAGAATCAGTACGTCAAGCCTCCTCACCCAATGTGCGTTCAATGTCAAATTCTGAAGAAAAGCTCAAGTGCTCAAGATGAAGTCATTCATTGAAGATTCATCAAGTTCATCTTGAAGCTGTGAAGAATTCGAAGATTAAAGCTGAAGCCAAAGCTCCCAATGAAGATTGACAAGAAAAGTCAGCTACTTTTTAGGGGGAGCTTGTTGGGTCAATTAAGAAAAGAAAGATATAAACCAAGGGGGAGATTGTTGGGTCAAAAATATGGTTTATACTTTACTTTTCTAGGAAAATGTATTTTTGTGTCTTGGACCGTAAACAGCTTGGTGTTTACGGTCGTATACGTGTTTACGGTTGTGTTTACGGCCGTAAACCCATTTACGGCCCATGTTCACCAAGCCCATATTCCCTAGTATATATAGGTGTTAGGGTTGACGAGTGGATTGATGAACACTAGAGGAGCTTAAGTGTGTGTATTCTAAGGTGTTCTAGAGAGAGAAACTAGAGAGAAGAACAAGTGTGTGTTAGTGTGTGTGAATCTCATGTAAAGGATCATCATTCTATTCAGTAATACATTGAGATTCATATTATTCTTCTTCTCCTTCTCTTTTATTTGATCTAACATCATCCGTTTGATTGGGATTCCGCACCATCAAACGGATCTGATTGATACACAAGCAGATTAGGGACTTACAGTCGTAAATAGGAATGAATAGCTTAATTGGGTCGGGCATTTCATCGAATGCCTTATAGGCATCTTTCTCATCCAAAAGCAATAACTTTCTAACCCACTTAAATCCTCCCGTTTCTCATGCTCAATCGCCTGCTTATCCACCTTTGACGGTTACGAAGCTGGCATATCAAACGAAGCTGAAACACCGACATGTAGTGAGAACCGGTTCGTGTTAGGCCTTCATTTTGGGGTTGTTCATGGTCGTGTTTGACGAACTGGTTACAATAAACCTAGATAAACTGTAAAAATCATTATATAAACAACAAAAGATACAGAAGTAACAGGCGAAGAAATAATTAACTCACCATGTTCAAACTTGATGCGTCGTTTGAAAGGGGTTAAATGGGTGAACCCTACGATGTGCGTTTGCAGATGAAAATGTGAATTCGTAGTCGGCAAGAGATGGAGATCGACGTGATAAATGATAAGGAAGAAATTGAATAGCAATGAGTTTTGTTTGTTTAATACATTGGAAACCTATCGAGATATTGAGGCGGTTGATCATCTCTGTATCTAATCGGAAGCATCTAGTAACAGACAAAATTCTAAGGTAACTCAAATTTATTTCACTGTTCATAAGAAAGAATTCATATTTATTATTGTATTGTTATATTTATATATAATAATGTTACATCCGTGTCTTATACGAGTTTTTAAAAAAAATATTTAATATAAGAAGTTGTAAGAATTACGTATTTTTTAGGGATAATGTCACTGTAGCACATGGAACTTTCTTCAATTGGCTAATTTGGTCCTTCAAGTTTTTTTTTGGTACATTAGGCCAGTAAACTCGTAAGTGACCTTTTAATTATACCATTTTATCAATTTTTAGAAGGTTTCCTGGTTGACTTTTTATATATGTGAATTAATATTTATTTTTTGTCTAATCCAATGCCACGTGAGATATGACACGTCAATTAATGATATAAGAAGCTTAAATCCTATCGTCTTCAACTATCGAACTTCAGTTGTCTTCATTGTTGAGCTGTAAAAGAAACCGAGTTAGGGTTTGTGAAGCATTCCTGTGATCGAGCTGAAGAAACAAAGAAGTCGCAGCAATGGCACAATCGGAACCTAAGGGATTGTTTGCGATGGTGGAACTCAACTACCAAGGGGTATTTAATCGAAATCCTTTATCTTACACTGGTGGTGTGAAAACCATGTTCACTGATGTTGACTTTTCTTCTATGATTTATTATGAGTTTGTGACCTTCAGCGAACGTTTCATGCATGAAGAGTGTAAAAAGTTTTAGTACTGTGAACCAGGCAATTCCCTGATGGAAGGGCTTAATCCCATTTCAAATGATGTGGAATATGCTGCTTTTATTTTTGATGCTTATGGAACAGATGGTGTAATTTCGGTTTATGTGGATCATATTGGGGTTGGTGTTGATGGGTGGCTTGATGATGAAGATAATGATGATGATGAACATGAGTCTTGTATTGATGGTGAAAATGAAGATAACATAGATGAACTTAGGAAGGTTGCCTTTGAAATTAATGAGGATGTAGTGCATATGAATAGGACATCAAATGATCCTTTCTTGAGTAAGTTATGTGTTGATGATGAGGAGGATATTACATTGTAGATGATGACAATGGGAGAGAAGTTGAACTTAACATCCAAACTCATTCCACATTTAATGAGCTATTACACTGGAAAAAAACAAAAACCAATTCTAGGGATGAGATTTAAGGGTCCAGGGCAAGTAAAATCAATGTTGTGTAACTATGCTGTAGCTAATGGATATCAATTGTGTTTTGAAAAAAAAATGATAGGACAAGACTTTTGGTGAGGTGTAGCAAGGGTGCTTGCACATTTAGATTATGGGCTTCTTGGATAAGTGATGAAGAGAGTTTCCAAATCAAATCACTAAAAGCTTATCATAATTGTGCTAGGAACTTCAAGTTTGGATCATTGGTGACATATGCATGGATTGGGAGTCACTATACCAAAGAGATTGTACAAAGTTAGAAAATAAGTGTAAGGAAGCTTAGGTTGAAGGTAATGGCCAAGTTTGGTATCTAAGTTAGTATGGGGCAATGTAGAAGAGCAAAGAAGTATGCACTGAAACTTGTTGAAGGTAGCCTTGTTGAACATTATGGTAAGCTATGGTCATATGGTCATGAGATTTTAAGGACAAATCCTGGGTCAACTGTGAAACTAGATATGGAGGATGGTCTAGATGGAAAGAAATATTTTAGCAAGTTCTATTGTTGTTTTCAAGGAGTTAAACAAGGTTAGATTGAAGGGTGTAGAAGGATAATTGGTCTTGATGGATGTTTTCTTAAAGGTGTTTGTAAGGGGGAATTGCTTTATGGTATTGGGAGGGATGGAAATGACAAGATATATCCTATTGCTTGGGCAGTGGTTAATGTGGATAACAAGTAGAATTGGAAGTGGTTTTTAGAGCTTCTCATTGATGATCTAAACTTGAATTTAGGCAATGGTTTCGGTTTAATGTCAGACCAACATAAGGTTAGTATTTTACATAGTAATGCATTTATATTTATTTTACACTATCTGAATTAAACCTTTGTATTACTACAGGGTTTGATAGAGGCTGTTAAAGAGTTGCTGCCATATGTAGAGCACAGCCAGTGTGCTAGACATATTTGCCAAAATTTGCAGAAGAGATTCAATGGTGCCATATATCATACCTTGTTTTGGAGAGCATCTAAAGCCACAACTGAGCATGCTTTTAAAGTTGTGATGAAAGAAATTGAGACATTGAACCCAGATGCCCATCAATATCTCATGGAGAAAGATCCTATAAAATGGTCAAGAGCTTCCTTTCAAACTGGAAGGTGTTGTGATGCAGTTGAAAATGGGTTCTTAGAAAGTTTTAATGCTGTAATTGTAGATGCCAGGAAGAAGCCCATAATAACCATGTTAGAGGAGTTAAGATTATACATGATGGACAGAATCTACAACATGAAATTAAAGGGACAACAATAGGGAAATCATATTTGTCCAGAGATAAGGGATAAAGTGAATTTGCTTAAAAAAGCTCAAAGGCATTATCAGGTACTACCAAGTGGATTAAACCAGTTTGAGGTAAGGGGGCAACAGATGCATATGAGGTGGACTTAGAAAGGAAAACATGTTCATGTAGGTTGTGGCAATTGAATGGATATGGATGTGCCCATTCTGTAGCTAGCATATCATTTCTTAATAGGGATGTAGAAGCATATGTAAACAACATGTTTAGCACAACCACATTTAGGAAGGCATACAATTACAGAATTGCTCCCATGAATAGCAGTGACATGTGGCCAGAGACAAACTATACTCCACCATTGCCTCCTATTAATAGAAGGATGCCTAGTAGGCCAGCTACTAAGAGGAAGAAATCCACTACAGAGAATATAGGAACACACAGGGTTTCTAAGGCTGGAAAGAAAATCAGATGTAGTATTTGCAAGGAGATAGGTCACAACAAGGCCACTTGTCCACAGAGAAGGCCCCAAAAGTTAAATGTGAAGAAACAGAAGAAACAAAAAGTTTGTGTGAAGCAAAATGCAGGACAGGTAGACCATTTAAAATTTAAATTTATTTACATATGATTTGTTACTAACATAATTATATAATGCCATATAGGGTAGTACAAGTGAACCACAACAACATGAAGAGGTTGAGATGACTCCAATTGAGATGGATACTACTCAAAATGATATGCAAGTTACTCCTACTATTTTTGAATCCAGTAGTGTAGGGGATTATAGTCATTCTATGCAATTTACTCTACCTAGAAGTTATGAAGGTGATGAGGGTGTTGTGGGTGAGGAAGCTGATGTGGTTGAGGAAGTTGTTCAAGATGAGGAGGCTGAGGAGGTTGATCCTGTTATCCAAGTTGATAATGTTAATGTTCAGGAGGTTGATGAGGTTAATCCTAATGCCCAAGTTGATAATGTTAATGTTCAGGAGGTTTCTCCTATTATCCAGGTTCAACACGTAAGGGTTAGGCCAATTTCAGAGATTTTGAAGAGGATAAGGAGAAGAAAGTCAGAGAGAATATTGAAGCTGAAATTAGGCAAAACAATTGGTGGTGTTGATGATCCAGGAAATTCGAAGGGAAAAGCTCTTGTAATTGATTAGTGTTTATTGTAATTTGGATTTAAAGTTTATGTAATAGGATGATGGTAATTTGGATTTAAAGTTTATGTAATAGGATGATGGTAATTTATATTTAATGGATATTTTGGTCATTTAAGTATGTATGCAAGAAAAGGGTATTTTGGTCATTTAAGTATGTATGAAAGAAAAGGGTATTTTGGTTATTTAAGTATGTATGAAAGAAAATGGTATTTTGGTCATTTAAGTATGTATGACAGAAAAGGGTATTTTGGTCATTTATTTATGTATGACAGAAAAGGCTATGTTGGTCATTTATTTATGTATGACAGAAAAGGGCATGTTGGTCATTTAAGTATGTATGACAGAAAAGGGTATTTTGGTCACTTAAGTATGTATGACAGAAAATGGTATTTTGGTCATTTATTTATGTATGACAGAAAAGGGTATTTTGGTTATTTATTTATGTATGACAGAAAAGGGTATGTTGGTCATTTATTTATGTATGACAGAAAGGGTATGTTGGTCATTTTTTATGTATGACATGAAGTATGAAAGTATGTTGCCTTTTTAAGTAAAATCATGACATTTAGCTTTGAATACTTATGCATGGAAAAAATTGGAATAATATGCATGCATGGGAATGTTTTATATGGTCCCAGATATGGTTTTATAATGGCTTCACAAGGTCCCATTTTTTCATTATTAAAACACCCATTGACTAGTAACTACATGTTGGATATAGTGTCTAAGTCCATAACTTTATTTGGTATGTACTTGATCTGACCCGGCATGGTTTATTTGGGTTGCATGGCATTGCAATACTTGGATAGACTAAATGGGAGAAAGGACACTTGTGATTATTAATATATTATAAGTTCTAATATATTAATAATAGTATTATTTAATTAGTGTTGATCAAGTATTAATTTAGAATTAATTTTGTGATCAAAATGAGACTAATTAAATACATAGGGTTGATTATGACAATCATCTAATCTTTTATGGTGGATTCATGATCCATGGTTTATGGTAATTTGGAGCTCCATGGATATGGGAGTTACAAACCCATGGATCATTAGAAATGAAGAGTCATGACAATTAAGGGCATTCATGTGTAAACCCTAATTGTGACAACACTATAAAAGGAACCCTATAGCTAGCAAAATCGGCCACTAGTGAGTTCTAAGAGGGCATAACAGATTTTTTAGTGCAAGTGTTTACTCTCAAGTTATTCCAAGTCTTGTGGTGTTGTGTGAAGCATTTGAGGCACAACATTTGGGGTGCTAGGCTCACAAAGTCATCAAGGAATCCAAGCAACAAGAAAGGTATGTACTTCTACTAGTTTTTATATTACATACTCCCCATGCCATGCTAGTTAGGAAGTAAACCTTGAAAAACAAATTTGCATGTATATTAGAGAAAACATAGATTCAAGGTTTATAGGGTTGCATGTACACCATAGGAGTGTTAGAATGCTCAAAACCCATCAGTGGTATCAGAGCCTAAGATTGTTTTCTGTATATTTGATGCAAACTGCTTGAAAAATCGAAAAAATGTTCACTGTTCGACTGGACTCGCCGAGTGCAAGGGGAGAACTCGACGAGTCCAAGACAAAATTCATCCCACTCGTCGAGTAGGATAATGCACTCGACGAGTAGGAGCGTGTTGGGCAGTTTTCCGAGTTTTGTTGCTGGAAATGGGCTAGAATCATTATCCCAAACTGTTTTGGACTTGTAAAATCTGTTTTTAAAAGTGGTAATGATTATGTTAACCCATTTCAAATGACTATTATCAATTTTCAAGTTTTATATGTGTTAATATGATTTCTTGAAATTGTTTGATATGAATATTTGTTCTTATGAGTTTTAGAAGATCATAGGAATTGTGTGTAACCTACATGCTAGTTTAATTCATGATCTTAATGTTAATGATGGTGTTCATAACTTGTCCTCAAGTTATGGATAACCAAAAGTCACTTCTTTAAAAGTTGTCATTAAAGAATAGTAGGTTTCATAAAATGAAGAGTCTTCAACTTTACGAACCATTAAAACTCATAAGTTACAAATTTGAAGAGTCTTGAAATAGTTTCAAAACTTGCCCTCAAGTTTTGGAATTTGTAAAGTCTTACACTTTAATACTTTAATTCCAAATTAAACCTTAGATTTTTAAAAGTTTAAAAATCAACACTTATATTATTATTATAATTTTATTTATATAGATATGTATAAGAATAAGTCGTTCTTACCGCAAGTAGGCCTCATTCGAAGCCGGTCTATAAGGGGGGTATAAGGTTGTTGCCTATAAAATGGCAACTTAATGGGTGTCCACTCTCACCCACTGCTTCCTTGACTGGTGGAGGGTCGTTAGCCGAACGGGTAGGACAAGACTTTAACTCTCATTAAAAGTATAATAAATTATAAAGTAACTATACATTATTAATTCCCAAATCTTAGTTATTTTAGGAAAATGTGAAATAGGTGCTAGCCCATAAAATTACACTTTGTACCTTACCAAGTCGTTAGTGGAGCGTGTGTGGTTAACCGACACACTAACAAGGACTAGTAAGTGTGGCAAAGGGTAACTTGACTTTATTATAGATCGGTGGAGCGTGTGTGGTTAACCGGCACATCGATTAGGTAATATAGTTAAGGGTACCAAGTCAATTTGTATGGTTATTCACACCTTGTTTGTGATCCTCGGCATCCCAGTCACAAACTTGAGAGGGCACAATCGAGATTCAAACATGTCATTGAAAAGTTCAATGTATCTCAAAAGATCTAGGAGTTTCAAATCCAATAAAACCTAATAATGAAAAATTTCGTTCTTATGGTGGAAATTGGTAAATCGTCATTTACCTACCTTCAAATATTTTATAGCTTGGATTACGGCATCCCTCTTCCAACTATAAATAGTTTGTTGTATCCTAGCCTTAATATTTCATTTGGGTGACTTATTAAGGACTCTTAATCTAATGAAACTTGTCTTTCTTTTCTTTCAGATGTCTTCCAACAATGCTTCTGGCTCAAACCCAACAAGCTCCTTTTCCCTTATGAACTTGTGTGGGAAAGTCACTTTTGATGGATCCAATTTCAATGAGTGGATCAGAAACATCAGGATGATTACCCGCTATGAGGACAAGGAGTATGTCCTCGATAGGGAGCTTAAGATTGTCAATGAAGCCAATGCTACTCCTGAAGAGTTTGCGGAGTTTGTTGCACATGAAAAGGATGTTACTAAAGTAGCATGCATCATGATGGCCACCATGACTCCTGAACTTCAAAAATCCTATGAAGATTTCTACCCCTATGAGATGCACCTGGATCTGATGGAAATGTACCATCAGAGCGCGCGTCAGGAGAGGTATGAACTCATCTCCTCCATGATAACAACCAGAATGAAAGATGGTGAACCCATCACCGGTCACATGCAGAAAATGAAAAGGTTCGTTGACCGGTTATTGAAGCTTAATGTGGACTTTCCTGAAGAAATGGCGATTGATATTATTCTCCATTCCTTACCTCCAAGTTATGATCAGTTTCGTATGACTTATCATATGAACAAGGAGGAAGTCACACTGAGTAAACTTCAAGGACTTTTTGTAACACCTGGTTCTCGGTACGTATTCTTTTATTTAATTCCTTGAGCATTTTAGCATTTTTGCCTTGGACTCGGCGAGTCAAGGGATCGACTCGCCGAGTAGAAGTGGGACGAGACGCGGATTCTAAGTCGTGGACTCGCCGAGTCGGGTCCTGGACTCGGCGAGTAGGCCCTGTTTGGTCATATAAGTCAAATCCGGGTGTTGCACCCCATTTAGCCACCATAACTCAGTCTCATTTCGTCCCATTCACTTCCAAAAGAGCTATTGAGCGAAACCCTAGCCCCTTTGTGCCCTTGTGAGCGATTTTGGCCTTGTGAAGAAAATTTGAAGCTTAAGAGAAGAAGAAGGAGGTGGAAGAGTGCTAGGAGGGGCAGTAGATCCGAAATCTACCCTAGGAGAAGCTTCTAATCAGGTAAGAAAACTCCCATTTTGCTCATTGGCTCATAGATTTCCTTTTGTCCCAAATATGTGGTTTGCAAGCCTTAAAACCCCCAGATTTCGTGTGTATATGTGATAGCCAGACCCTAGGAGCTTAGATCAATGGTTTGGAACCGTTGCATGTCTCAGATTTGGCCAGTTTGGGTGGAGAGTCGAAGGGGACTCGGTGAGTGCCAAAGTGCACTCGGCGAGTTCCATGAAGATGGCCTTAGACTCGACGAGTTGGATGAACAACTCGGCGAGTCCTATGAAGATTGCATGGTACTCGGCGAGTCGTTCTTCAAACTTGGAGAGTCCCTTGAATATAGCCTTGAAATCGACGAGTTATTCTTCCAACTCGGCAAGTCATATGAACTGTTACTAGGATAAGAAGGGTTTAGGTGAAGAAGGTCCAACCCTTCGTAACCACGCGTTGAATTAGCAATTTAACGTGTAGCTATAGTCCCAGAATCTCCAAATGTCCAAGGTTGATGTTCTAATGGAAGATTGGAGCGATTGTGAGATCTGTTCGTCGGACTCGGCGAGTCTCCCTTGGACTCGGCGAGTCCAGTCGCGAGTTTGTTAGTTGTCCCCGTTTAGCGAGTCAGGCCGACTCAGTGAGTGGGAACAGGGACCTGATGAGTCAGAGTCGGGCTAGACATAGAAGGACTCGGCGAGTCCTATATGGACTCGGCGAGTCCAGTCAATCAGAAGGTTGACCTTGACCAAGGAGTTGACTTTGACCGATCGTTTGATCTAAGGGGTATTTATGAGTGCCTAATCCATGTTTACGAATTTATAGCCGGAGGGATTACCGGTGCGGCAGCCAGGCGTAGTTTGAGCAGGCTTTCAGCAGCTACTCTCGAGGTGAGTTTCCTTCCAGTAGGGACGGGTCTAAGGCACCAAGGCCGGCCCGTATAGACGATATGTTAGTATCGGAGTGTGGGCGGAGCCCGTATCTCATAGCTGAGTTTGATTGTGTTATATGCCAGTATGATAGAATTGC